AGATTTCTCAACATCTTGCAAACTAGTTTGATACTATGGAATCAAATTGCATCACTCACTATGTCTTCAATTCCTATAGTTTTTCTTAGGGTTGATTTGTTGGTCTCTTGTTTCCAGATTCTGACATATTTTAAAGCTCTGATATTGCATGTAGGATCTTTAATCAAGCAAAGGCAACTTCTCTTGGTGGAGCAGCAAAACAAAAGAAAAATGAGACTCAGCTAGCGCCTATACTCCTTAATTTGATTGACAATAATCTTGTTTTTGTTTCAATTTATGTGTCTTTTATTTATTGGATGGACTTGGTTTAGTGCTGATTTCATTTGGAAATTTGTTTTGTGTTGTAATTAAGTTTTCAAGCATGATGTGTTATGGAATTTGTACTCTGTCCGATTGATATCACATGACTCTGTTATCAATTTGAAATGTAATTTTTGTAATAGCTTTCGTGTTTCATATATTGTTATAATTTCAAATTCCCTTTGCTTTGCTAACATGAGCATTGAATTGAAGAACACTCTGGTAGCCCTTCATCGTCGGCCTTGTTCCACTTTTGCAGGTTTTTTTTCCTACCTAGAAAACCATATTTATTTTATTCCATTTTCTTTACATCATTTGCAATCCTAGATTCTTCTGGTCGCTAAGAAGGAAATAATTTTTGTAGTTTGAAGTGAACGGTAAAGGCAGTTCGGTTTAGGAATCACCAAAACAGAGAAGGCAGGGCATGGTGGAAAATTACAGCTTTAAAATAATTGCTCAGCTCTCATGAATTCCTAGTAAGTATATTTTGACTTGTTTATTGCATTTCATTCTCTTTATTTTTTTCTTTTGCTTGTTCCCTAGAGTTTTGTTCGTTGGTTGTTTGATGGTAATTGTATTAAGTATGCCAAAATTTTCAAAAAGTTTAAGAGAACTATGGGTAATAAGATTGCTTAATATCTATGGATGAAACAACATTTTTCTTTTATTATTCCATTTCATTTTCTTCATTTTTTTCTTAATTTTGGGTTTTATTGCATTTTTGTGATCTTTACATTTTCTTTATAAATTGGTTTCTAGGTATAGCTTAAATTAAGCACCTTTTGATAGTTGAGTCAATTAGTTCAAGCTCAAGGTCTCCCTTTCCTCTGGGTTTTGGGTACTTCAATGCCTAAATTGTTTCTTATATACACATTACTGGAGTGCTTCCAATAGTTAACCATTTCGTTCTATGGAGCTACATTTTATGCTCTTAAATAACATTTTCTTCTTTCTTTCATTTTACTTGTTGTAGATGCATGGATTTATGCTCATGAGGCGGTTGAAGATGAGGAACTTGTTGATGATGCTAATGATGTCAATTTTAATGGTGAAGAGAGATTCTAGTGGTAAAGCTAGTAGGAAAAGGTGAGTAGTTTTCGATTTGTGGGGTGAAGACACGGATGAATATGCCATCAAATTTTCTTTCTATGAACCTACCAAAAATTGTTATGGAAAGAAACTTCAGTTGACAGCAGCGAAGCACAAATAGGGAAAAGTCTTTTCTACTAAGAATTAAAAT